AGTATTTTGGATTCAAGCCAAATCAACGAGGCCAACCTACGGACTTGAATGAGCCGGGCGGTGTGTCGCATTTGTTTAAAAAAGGTAGCGACAAAAGCAGGCAATACCACGCATTTTAAACTACACCTAAAACACAACCACTCCATTCCGTTTTCCCAGCTGGTAGCAAACACGGCAGCTGGAGATGGAGAGCCCCCACCTTCCCGACAGTTTACAATCAAAGATGCATTTGCCCGACAATGCAAACATGTTGGTGTTCCTTGCTCGAAAACTTCGAAAAACAGATTTGGATATGGCCTGTTGAGGCATCTGGGTCTTTGTATGGACAGTGGACTGAACACATGAATGTTGTTTTCAGGAGATTTTTTTTGCTTGTGAGACAATGTGTGCTCATATTGATTTATTTATATATATATATATATAGAGATGGATAGATAGATGGATTGAGAGCTCTGTTTTCCAGCCTGAGTCTATTTAATTTATTGTTTTGGTTGTGTGTGATTTAATTTATTTATTATAATTTAATTAATTTGTTTTATTTATTATATATCATTTATATATTTTAATATTATTTCACATTTCATTTGCAATGTTGAATGTTCAATAAAAAGTTCTGTTTGAAAGGATGTACTAGAATTATTATGATATATTATCATTATGTCAGTGGTCTAAAATGGTCTTACAATGGTGCCGACAATATTATCGTTTATCGCAATAATTTCCAGGAACATTTATCGTCCAACAAAATTATTTATCGTGACAGGCCTAAACACCATTCACCTAGGGCTGGCCTGAGCATGCACCTCCTCAAGTGATCCACCCTGGATGGCTACCACTCCCTCTCATTCGCACCACACATAAAAAAACATCACACAGCCTTCTTTCATCTTCGGAACATCTCCAGACAGAACATATCCTGGTCCACTCATTCGTCACATCCCGGATTGATTACTGCAATGCACTTCTTACTGGCCTTCCCATCAAGCACCTCAATAGACTGCAAATAATCCAGAACTCTGCTGCCCGGATCATCGCCCGCATCAACTCATCTGACCACATCACCCCCATTCTCACTCAGCTACACTGGCTTCCTGCAAAAACCTTCTACTTATATATAAAGCTCTCCATAACCTTGCCCCCATCTACATCACCGACCTCCTTCAGGAGTACACCCCATCCCGCACCCTCCGATCTTCCTCCGTAGGACTTCTCACCATCCCAAGCTCTCGCCTCAAAACCATGGGTGCTCGAGCTTTCAGCTGCTCGGCTCCCAGACTCTGGAATTCCCTGCCACTACACATCCGACAGTCTGATTCCATAACAACATTCAAAACCCAACTCAAAACCCACCTGTTCAAACTGGCATTTTCTTTATAAACTGTACCCTGTGTCCTTTTGTGTCCTTCTACAGTATAGTCCATTTCCTGTTGTTTGCCTTGTCTTACCCCGGCTGATACTTCACTTCACTAAATCCACTGTTTTAATTGTTCCCTATATTGCCCCTATGCCCTGTAAGGTATCCTTGGGTGTTATGAAAGACGCCCCCCAAAATAAATGTATTATTATTATTATTATCCTTTTTCTAAAATCCAAGTGAGAAATAATATCGAGGCACACGTTTATTCATGAGAATACTTTGACCAATGGTAAAGAAAATTGATTGCTGGGACAGTCATGACTTCAAAGATAAATGAAATGTTGTCATATCACTCTAATGCTGGTAGTTTCATTCCAATTCCCACAAGATTTGAGCCTTTGCAGACCATTTACATGCACATAAAGCTATAGAGCACACTACAGGAAAGGGAAACTCCAAAAAGCATAATAGGGCCACGTTTTCTGAAAGATTAAATACAAAGTGATTTACTGAAGCTACAAACCTTTTGTAAGAAGAAATGCAACACAATTACCATCCACGAGAAAGGGCTATCATGTGGGCCTAAACTGCTCATAGTCAAAAGATGCTGAGGTAAGATGTTATCATATGCACATTGTAAAGCATTCTTTTCTGTTTACAGTCATGAACTGGATGTGGAGGAGAGCCCGAACCTGACCCCTGAGGAAGCCTGGAGTAAACTGGGCCTTAAACACAACCCTGAGCCTCTGTGAGTGTGACCCTCACACTTCTGTTCGCACACACACTGCTCTTTAAAGCTGCTGTCATTCACACACCCTCTGGAAGTGTGTCAGCAGACAGTGTCCTGCAGCTGTCTGTTATCTGCAGACACACACTGATGTTTACAGATGGTTCACTGCATGTTGAGAACAGCTGCAGCTCTTTGACCTGTAGTTACAGGTGTTTTTTGGCTCTAATATTTTTTTACTGTAATATTTATGCAATCTTCATTCCTTGAATAGTAGTAGGAGCACTGTCTCTCTTTTTCTTCTCTCACCTCTTTATTTGAATCCTTCCCACTATTCACTTACAGTAAAAATACTATTGCATTAGTAAATTAATTAATTTGGGCTGCATAAAATAAAATGTATTGTAAAAATACAGGAATAATAACAGAAAAATACATTCCAAATGTTGCACTTTAAAGTTAAATGCACCAAAATGAAGAGGCTAGGGGTTGGCAACCTTTTTGAAATACAAATTTAAATGATTGGTTTAAACGGCAAAATAATAATGACGACCGTCCGTTCTGTGATTCTCCAGAACACAAAGATGGCCAGTCCGCCCCTGTGTAGCATATTATTTTCGACGAGAGATGAGCAGATCGCCACTGGGCTTTCAACTAAAGAAGAAGCCATGCAAAAACTGGGGCATTTGTACAGCTCCTTATGGGTAGGCCTACTGCAATTTGTGAAGTGCCGGGGTGCTCCGGCAGTACTACACCCCTGATCGTTTCACCACGGAGGAAAGCAGCAGCAAGTCGACTGGAGTTATAGAGAGTGGGACCTAGAAGTTATCCTTCTGCGCTGCGTTAAGTGCATGGCTTCCTTCTGCAGGTAACGGGGAGACGCGCTCTGGCGGCGGTCTCGTTCAGGATCCGAAAATACAATTTAAATATTTTGCACACTTATTCCACTTATTCCCAGCGTGCCAATGGTGGCATGCGTGCCTAGGGTTGCCGACCCCTTGGCTAGATTAATAGTGAAGCACTTGATGCTCTTAGCTCCAGGAGGGCTTGATTTGATATGCAGCGGTGTATTCTATATGTTAAGCACGCAATTTAAACACATTTCTTGTAAATATATACTTTGTTGAAGACGTGCAGGGCTGATACTTAAGATTGTTGGCCTATGTGCCGAGGCTTGGAGAGCTCCGGCCCAATGTAACCCCTGGTTGCAGCGTTACCACTATGGGATGCTGCTGTACGTATATAATCACTTCTCTTATTATCTGCTTTGTGATGATGTTCAGGGCCCAGGAGTTCAAAACTTTTAATCCCTATTTGATCAAATCAGATTTGGATTTTGGGGAGTTCAAAACCAAAAAACAGGATTAGGATCACTTTGATATCCGATCAGATCAGGAAATCCAATCCAAGCTTTAATCTGGATCGAATCTTCAAAATGGGTAGTTCAAACCAACAACACAGGATTGGGATCAGTTTGATCCCAAAAAACTGGATTATCCTGATCCCACCAAAGGGGTGGATTTCCAGTGGATTACCAGAGCAAAATGTACTGTACAATTTATTTTAAAATATGTTACAATTTAAATAAGATGGCAAAGTTTGTTTTTAGCCTTCATGGGAAATACATTTTATTTTTCCCATTTTTCGCTCACGTTTGTGGTGGCCTATTTGTTTTTCAACCAAATTTTTGACGACATAAATGTTTATGCTCATAAAAGTATCAAAACAAAGATTGTCAATCACAAATGTAATTTAGATTAAAGAAATAATATCTTCAACAAAAATAATGTCCATTAATTTGTCATCACCTTTCAAAAGTAATTGCCGACAACTGATGTGGTCTCTTGTCTTCCTTGTATTATTTTTCATGTCCACTAGATGGCGATCGGTAGGATTATAGCACTGATATTCAGGATCTAGTCATCTTGAAAAATCGTAATCTGGATCAGAATGATCCTATCCTGAATTGCTTTGAACTCCAGGGACAAAATTTGGCCGACTTGTCTGATCCTGGATCACAAAAAATGGGATTTCAAAATCTGATCGGATCTGATTGAGATTAAAAGTTTTGAACTCCTGGGCCCTGATGATTTCCTTATTTCAGTGGCGAATAGAGATAATACAAATCTGTTTACTAACAATGTTGTCTTTAATGTTGTAGTTAACTTTGAGGAACAGATTCTGCCTGGTATTATGTCTTTGCAGACTACTTCTGATTTAGATGACTGCCACTCAGTTTGATATGTTGACCTGATGGAGCAGCTGCTCATGTCTCTGTCTGTGTTTCTGTGTGTCCCAGGTTCCAAAGCGTGTTGAGCTTCAGAGGCGGCGCTGCTCAGAAGCGTCCGAGGCAGTGGCTAAATAAAGGAGCAGTCCGCAGCGTCAACAAACACACAAGGTTCTCTGAGGCGGGGGGGGACCACACACCGCCACAGAACAGAACAGCCCTCCACAAGGTACCTGAAGCTGCAGGTCTCTGAGAACACATTCCTGTGTTTGAAGTGCATCATTACCAATGTACTCTAGCTAAGTGACGTGATGATGAACAAATGCGAAACTGAAGTAAATGGTTACAAAAGAGGATCACCCCACTAAAACTGTATACTCACTAGTCTGCTGTTGCTGCACTGAAACAGGCACAACCTGATATATTCTGTATAGGTGAAAAAGTGTCTACCCTTTTTACCCCAAAAAATACAAATTAGATTTTTAGGACAAAATGTCACTTAATTGAAATTGTATCAACAAATTCAAAGTTGGCTTTGTATGAAGAGCTGTCCAAAAATTATAGATGTGCTCGGAAATACGTTGAACAAATATTTATTTAATTAAAATGATCTTTTGGTTACAACTTGCACAAAGTAATTTATCAGAATAATCACAGCTGGCACCAGTGTGTGTGGCATGCCTTCTGTCTCTGCGAGCGTTGTGTGTGATTGTGCTGTTTTTGTCACTTTTTGCTCTAAATGTCAACTTTCAACTAGTATACGATTGCCAAACACTTCTGGATCTTCGTTTTTCGGCATTAAATCCTGTGGATTTGGATCGTGGCCATAAAACGCTCCCCCCGTTCTTATTGGGAGTACCAGCTTACCTGTGCCGCACCCCGGCTCCAACTCCCCGCCGTAAACGCCACCGCCGCCGCGGTGTTCTTAAACGGTGTTCTTAAACGGTGTTATCCATGAGCCTATGTCTAACCCCTAGTTTCCACCGGGTCCGTCTGCGTCGCGTTACGGCTGCGCTGCGGCGTCCGCGAGGATCGTGGCCACTCTAGTCAATGGGTGCTATTCCACCAGACACGCCGCGTTACCGC